ATCCATTGACAACTAAAAATATATATATATTAAAAAAAGTTCTATAAAGTGTCAGACATCAAGATGGACAATAAGTATTTAATATACGTAGCATCTAGTTTATTACTGAAATTATATACCTATACAACATTTAATGAAATTTATTGGTAGGAATGTTATGAGTTTTTCCTACAGATTTACCCATCTACATTTCCTTTTTAAAGTGAAAAACTTGAGATTTATTTTAGATAATGACAATTTCTTTTTTTTTTTCCAAATAACTTGGATAATTTCTTTTCACTGTAGCTAACTGACACATAAAGAAAATAATTACAAAATATATTCCTTAGAGGTTACTCATGGTACATATGTATATGCTTTAATTATTAGCTTAAGAGAACATAGTGTTTATTAAAATATTTATTTGTAGTTGGATAGACTTGTTAATGAAAGATCAATACAAATACTTTATCATCCATAAATGTTTTATGAAAGAGACACTTTTTCTCTAATGTGATTTTTTTTTTTTTGAGGGGGAGGGTGTAACTGGGATTGAACCCAGAGGCACTTAACCACTGAGCTACATCCCCATACCCAGCCCGTTATTTTTATTTTTTATTTTAAGACAGTTTCTCATTAAGTTGCTTAGGGTCTTATGCGATTTTTAAAGGATATTTACAGGGTGAAAAATTTACACATGCATCTGAGAATGTACTTCCATTTTGGGAAATTTATAATTTTTAGAAATGCAGATTCCTATATAGCATTTTAAACTCAAATTCTGTTAAGATTATGGGCTTGTTTTGAGATTTCCCCCCCCCATGATTTGTCTTGCTTCCATGTTCCTGACCACAAATCAAATTAACTGAAAGTCATTTACAATAAGTGTGAACTTCTTACCCTCTACCAATAATGATACCTGAAAAGGGATAAATCTATTTGTTTAAAGTTATCTAGATGTTTTTTAAAATTGGTATGAAAATGCTGGCTTGGATAAAATGAATCCAGTGTTTTGAAACAATGCTTTTAAAATAATGTGAACTTCATAAGAGCTTAATAAAGGGTATTTAGCCTATTCAGGTTTGGAATCTTATAATATTAGGAGTTAAAACATGCCTCTTTCTTATTCCCACCCGTAGTCCAAATGTCTCCTGAAGCTACTAAGAACAAATTTATTCCTATTTGTGATAATTCTTTAAATATAACTTGTTATTTCTAGTCATGATGACAACTGAATCCCAACCCCTCAAATATACTCTAATGTTTTCTTTAATATTTTATTTTTTTAGTTGTTTTATGATTTTAAATCCTTTACCCTCTTGGCTTCCTTCTCCTGGTTATGTTCTAGTTTGTAAAAGTGACATCCAGATGATATGACATATATCATATTGTGGCATGAAGTATACCAAAGCTTGATATTAACTTTTTGTGTTACCTATTGAAATTCTTCTAATTGGGGAGCAATTTTAGATAATAAAAAGAATTAATTAATAATGGACATTGATCTGCTCTTGGCAACTTTTATCAAATGAAAACTGAACAGTTAAATTTTATGTTGAATAAAAGCAACTTGTAAGTTGGGTGTGGTGGCACACACCTATAATCCCAGCGATTTCAAAGGCTGAGGCAGGAGGAACACAAGCTCAAAGTCAGCCTCAGCAACTTAGTAAGGCCCTATGCATCTTAGCAAGACCCTGCCTCAAAATAAAAAATAAAAAGTCTGGGAATGTGGCTCAGTGGTTAAGCACCCCTGGGTTCAATCCCTGACACAGACCAAACCAAAACAAAACAAACAAACCAACCTCCCAAAACAAAAACAAAACTTATAAAATTATATATACCTCATGACTTCCTTTGAGACTTAAGTGACTTGGGATTAAGCCTATCTGGGAAGTTGAGAACAGGGAATCAGGTATTAACATTCATTTCTTATTTATTTTTAATGAACAGAAGTAAAATTGAGGCTCTCTTGGTCTCTCAGTGATATAACTGAGGATATGTGACCAGTTGTATAAGATAGTTAAGCCTTATGCTACATTCTTAATATATAAAATTTATTTCTTATAGAACAAATCTATGGGGAAATAAGAAAATAAATATATCACATTCCCTGTTGGCTAAGAAATGCTCACATGTTTAAAAACAAATTAACCTTTTAAGGCAGCTCTGAAGAAGTAATTTATTTTAAATAGGTGAGCACTTTATAGCTCTTGTGGGAATACTTTTTCCTTACTTCTTTTCATCATATAGGATTAAGGCCCTATGTTTTTAATTTAGTCCTTTAATTTTTGCTGTTAACATTTAATTTACTTGATGACCCCATACTGTTAACTTTTTGCTCCAGTGAACTCTGGACAATATATGTGGACTGTATAATCTATTTTTTTAAATACTTTTTTTAGTTGTAGATAGACACAATATCTTTATTTATTTATCTTTATGTGATGCTCACGCATGTAAGTGCCTCACGCATGCAAGGCAAGTATTCTACCATTGAACTACAGCCCCAGCCCTGTATAACCCAATTTTAAAGAAACTTAAAAAATAAGATAAGTCTGATATGAAGCAGAAGATTAAATTAATTTCCACTGTGTAGAAAGATATCATATAATTAGATGTTTATGCTATTGGCAAAACCCAAAGTGGACATGACTTACTTGTTAATACATTTAATGAACTTTAAGACTACTAATATAGTACAATAGATGTGAAACCTTTTTCTAAAAAGAAACTCTTACAGCATGTAACTAAATAGAAGTCCTCTAGTACCTTTTTATGCTCAAAGTTTTTTTCTTTTTATATACAGTTGAAATCATTTAGATGTTAAAAAAAGCTAGTAGATATGGTTATTAAAATTCAAGGCTTCTTATAAACCATTTGATGTAAAAAATACTTTGTACACAAGTTTTTATTTGCCCTTAAAACTAAACCCCTGAACTCACATTTGAACATTTTCTCTTAACTGTCAATACATGTGTATTAAAGAAAAATGGGGGAAAAAACAAACAAAAAAAACAATTAGGAATGATTAGTGGCATTGTTTCTGAAGGCCCCTTAACAATATACTTCTTTTCCCATCTCCTTTCTGAATTTACCACGGAAGGCTCCTATTTGTTTTTTCATATTAGCATTACTGAATGTCATCCATTATTGAATTCTGTCCTTTGTTTCTCTTCTTCAGGAAAACTGCACTTTGATATCTTGTGGGATAGAAAGCTCCATCTTTCAGGACGTTGGTCAGGCAACACCTCTCTGACTATCTGAGGGTACACTGTTCTTACTCTAAGGATAGCCATGAGGATGCATTTACTTTAAACATTTTGGGCTTCTGAATTCTGAGAGTAGCACAAGTCATATATGTTTCAGTATAAATTTCATGGTTTGCTAATAAGGTAATACTGTTCTGTAATTTAATTACTTGGGGTGAATGTTGTAAAGTACTCTTACTACTACTACTACTAATTATTATTATTATGGTTGGTGTAGGGGATTGAAGCCAGGCCCTGCAGCATGCTAAGCACATGCTCTACCACTGAGCTACACACTTCTATTACTATTTTTTTTTAAATGTAAGTATTTTTGTATGACTTTTACACTGATAGTGACAATAATGAACTTTTGGATTAGGCCATTGATGTCTGAGATAGAGAGATACCCAGATGGTCTAGAATGAACCCCAATCCCCATCTGATTGTAGAGTTCACTGGTGGTATTATTAACTGGGATAGAACAGTGGAGAAAGGAAAGAGATGGGGAGAAGAGGTGTGTATGTTTAAGGGTGGGTTGGAACACTGTGAGGGGGAGAGGGAAGTGAGAAGTTCAGTTGAAAACCTATGGAATATGGAAGATTAAATGCTATGTAGAGATCAGAAGGTATGGCTTTGGATATGGGTTGCTCAATGAAGTGGCTCTAAAAGCTGGTGGAATCAGAGCTTCAAGGATTTTTGACGGGTTGTACATGTGGACATTGCAGTGGTAGATGATGGCAGAAAAGTACAGGAGAGGCAGATATTGTAAGCAAAGGGCCAAAGTCTTGGATGAACAAGAGAGAGAATGACAGGGCAATTAAGTCAGGAGAATGAAAGAGGAATGAAAATTTTTCCAGGATTGTTTGATCATGCCTTCTTTTTAGTCTCAAAAGTTAAAAGTCAGAGACTATTTTATTTAATACTGAAAATATTAGTTGAATTAATGAATAAGCAAATAGTAACCTCATGTTGTAAAGAATTTTTGCAATTTTTATTAGAAGCAGTTAACAATAAATGTAAATATGCAAGGTGTAGAAAAACATTAACAATCCCATCACCCATAAATAATCACTGTCAATCCCTTGTTGTTATTGTTATTATTGTTATTCATACAGGGGATTGAACTGAAGGGTGCCTTACAACTAGGGTACATTGCCAGTCCTTTATAAATTTTTTTAAATTTATTTTGAGACAGTGTCTTGCTAAGTTGCTGAGGCTGATCTGGAACTTGTTATCCTCCTGCCTCAGCCTCCCAAATTCCTGGGGTTACAGGCGTGCACTACCTTACCCAGCAACCCTTTGTTATTAAACTTTGTCAGTTTGTTATTTGTGTGTGTGTGTGTGTGTGTGTGTGTGTGTGTGTGTGTGTGTGTATTTCCTATCAGTAAATATTCAGTTATGGGCTGGGGTTGTGGCTCAGTTTGCCTAGCATGTGGGAGGCACTGGTTTTGATTCTCAGCAACACATAAATAAATGAGTAAAAATAAAGGTTCATCAACATCTAAAAAAATATTAAAATTTTATAAAAATAAGTAAATATTCTGTTATATACTTTAATGGCTGAATAAGTATTGTTATAGGATATAAGGATATACCATAATTTCAGCCTTTCAACCAAGTTTTCTCTCCTGTAAAAGAACAGTTTCATAGGTAAATGCTTGTCTAATTTGTTTAGGATATCCTAGAAATTTTCTGGTAGGATCTTCATGAAAAGTCTCTTTTAGAACTATTTCTAACAGGCTTCTTTATGGGTGTTCTTTTTCAAAAACACAGGTAGTATACTGACAAATGCAGGCTGTCAGCTACAGAAGTGAGAACTGGTAAGTAAAGGTTCTTCTTCACAGGGACCTTCTTTAATTTGCTTAAAAACCTTGGAATCAAGCATTCTTTTCAAGAGCACAATAAGAGATGATTCATGAGCTGAATAACAGGATATAGTGGTCAACATATATGTATATTGAAATTAAAAATTTCTCGGGATAAATCTTCATTTGTTGATAACATTCGATTTTAGTAGAAGGTTTTTCCCCTACTTTTAAAACTGTGGTAAAATACTCATAACAAAATCTATCATCTTAACCATTTTTAAAGGTACAATTCAGTGATATTAAATACATTCATAATGTTGTATAATCATCACCAGCATCCATCTCCATCTAGAAAATGTTTTTTTAATATTTATTTTTTGTAGTTGTAATTGGATACAATAACTTTATTTTATTTATTTATATATGGTGCAGAGGATCAAATCCAGGGCCTTGCATGTGTGAGGTGAGCACTCTACCGCTGAGCCATAACCCCGGCCCCTAAAATAGGTTTTAACATACCATCAAGGTCACTTTGCCTCAAACTTTTTCACACAAGTATAGTTAACAGTATAGAGAGTGAACAATTGCCTTAATATAGTCTTGTCCTAAGCTATAATTTTCTTTAGTTTCAAGTTCTATCTTAAATTTAATATAAACATTGCATTTTAAATCACAGTATTCCTATATTTAGTATGAATATAATGACTATGCATTTTTTTAAAGTCTTGGAGTAAAGTTGATATCTATGAAAAGGCTCCATATTTATTCACTGGCTTTTAATCCTCAGTCACACTAGAGTTGGACTTTCAGAGACAAGGTTCTAGACTATTTTGTGGTTCTGTAGCATGTTCTTTTTCAGTTTTCTTTTACAGTTTAGCCAAGGTTATTGATAGTTGTGCATGGCAGGGAAAAAACTAATTGATGTTCACCCCCTTTGAACATAAGATTTCCACAGAAACTGAAAATTCACCAAGTGAATATTCAAAAGTATTTTATATAATCTCACACTTCATCAATATCAATGCCATGAGAGTTTAAGTGTATAAATAAAGTGAGTTGTTTAATATTGGCTAGGACTATCACCCACCTTTTCAAAGAGTATCAGTTTTTCAACTATCCATGCATTATGGCTACTGAGATTTGGAGACCCTCTCAGGTATAATAATTCTATTCTCATGGCTAGCCACCACTTAAGGAGATTGGAGACTACATTCATGAATAGTGGCAAAACTGGAACTAAAATTTGAGTTTCTTAACTCCCAGTTGAAGATCTTACACCAAAAGGAAATGAAAAGACATAATGTACTTCTTCCTGGTTCCACAAACCACTTCACACCATCCTAAGGTCAGTTTATTTTTCTTTGCCTCCCTCTCTCTCGCCTTCCTTTCAGCACCCTAGTTCTAACCATTAGCACGTTAAGAATATTTTAATATACTTAAAAACCCGGTGAGAGGGTAGATCTCTTGTTACATATTCTTACTACAGTAAAAAAATAAATAAATAAACAAATAGAGCATTTGGGAACTCCCCAAGAAACAGTGTAGAACATTAGAATTTTGTCTCTTATACTTAGCACACAGGCACAGAGCTCAGAAGAGCATAATTTTAGAAAGAAAAAGATAGGAGACATGATAGAGGCTGCTGGCAAAATGAGAAGGCCTAGAATGAAAAATAGGCAAATATGTACTTTTTAACCTAAATGAAGAATTCATTGGTAGAAGAAAGAATAAGATCACAAAATATGCAGAAATTTCTGATTTCTAATTCTTGAGGATATCTATCTAGTAGTATTCTGAAATATTAAACAAATTAAAGAGTTTTATTTTTAAAACAGCTGAAACTCATGGGACTAGGCATAGAGTCACCCTATTTTATTCTGTGAGGTAAATTTTTAATTCTAATTACTATGCACAACTAAGATTATTACTCTGTAATAATGTTAAAACAAATGTTTGGTAGAGTAAAAAGAAATTCACATGACTTTTGTATCATTTTGTATAGGACAGGGCCATTAAAAGCTAATATTTTAAAAGGTTCAAAAGCGGGGTGTGGTGGCTCACCCCTGTAATACCAATGGCTTGGGAGACTGAGACAGGAGGATTGCAAAATCAAAGCCAGCCTCAGCAAAAGCAAGGTGCTAAGCAATTCAGTGAGAACCTGTCTCTAAATAAATACAAAACAGGGCTGGGGAATGTGGCTCAGTGGTCCAGTGCCCCTGAGTTCAATTCCTGGTACCTACTCCCACACCCTCAAAAAAGAATTGCTCCTATTCAACAGTCTGGTTGTTGTACATAAAGAATTTACATGAATTAATTTAGCATTGGACTCTATCTGGGATAGAATTGTCCTTAATATTCAGTTGAAAAATCACAGAGCTCTAGAATTAAAGTGATAATAAGCAGATACAGGCCAAGTAATATCTATATTACTAGGAGCTAAGCAAGGATTATAAACAAGCTTATAAGTTTTTTTGAATTAAATAGTCTCATTAGGAATGTGTTTTTAAAATTGTGAATATTTCAACTGATTTATTTTAAACCACTTAAAATTGTGCAGGAGATAAGAAAATGGAAGATATCCAATTTAAATGTGTAGTTTAGTCAGATATCAGGGAATATTAAAACTTCTCCATATATTTTAACTTGGTGGAATTAACAGTTTTCTCTCTTCTAGATTACTTTGTGAAAGAACATGCCATTTTACAGATAAGAAAACTGAAGCTTAAACAAGTTGGGTTAAAATATGTCGAGGAATCCAGTATGTATTCAAGTATGTTCATCCCTAATATCTATGATTTTAACCACTGTCTTTAGAAGTAAATGCATTGGTATGTTATAGACTAATTCTTAATCAAAATTCACCTTCACACAAAAGGAATTTCTAGAATGCTCACTGTCCTCAATTCCTCTCCCTCACACTCTTTTTCTTTCAGGATGTTTTGTAATTTTTAATGGAAATGAATGTTTCTTCTGAAATTATTATCTTCAATTTTTATTTTTTATTTTTATTTGGTACCAGGGACTGAAATCAGAGGCACTGGACCACTGAGCCACATCCCCAGTCCTATTTTGTATTTTTAGAGACAGGATCTCACTGAGTTGCTTAGCACCTTGCTTTTGCTAAGGCTAACTTTGAACTCAAGATCTTCCTGTCTCAGCCTCCCGAGCTGCCGGGATTACAGGCATGTGCTACCAAACCTGGCTGTTTATCTTCATTTTTTTTTTTTTGTCATTAGAAAAAAAGATTAATATATTTCAAAAGTCACTGAGGAAGTCTTTTGCAGTTATAAATCCTAAGCTTAAAAGATTACCTAAAGTACTTTTCTTTGAACAATGAGCTATAAACTGAGCACTCCATAACAAATCCTAAGAGTAAGACCAAGAAACAAACTTCTCTGAGTAATATCACTGCATCCCAAAACAAAACCCAGAAATATTTGTGGGAACAAAGAATCTCCAACAACCAACACGGTAAAATTCTCAATCCCTCACATCCACTTAAAGCTGACCAGGCATGCAAGCCAGAAAATGACTCATAATGACAAGAATAATGAATGAACTGAAAGTGGACTTAAATGGACACAGATATTAGAACTAGTGGACAAGAGCATTAAACATTATTGTAATAGTATTCTATAGGTCTGAAAAACAAAGACAAGGAAGACATATTTTTAGAACTCAAGTTTCAATTCTAGGAATAAAAGCTATAATATCTGATGAAAAATTCACTAAATGGGATTCTTGGATAATTAGGTCAGAAAAAAATGATTAGTAATCTTGAAGACATAACCAAAGAAGCTATTCAAAATAAATAGAGAAAAAGAATTTTAAAAAATGATAAGAAAGTCATTTGGGATAGACTTATAGATTATAATTCCAGAGGTTTAGTATCTATATAATTAGAGTTACCAAAGGAGAGGAGAGTCAGAGGAGGAAGAGATATTTGAAAAAATAATCCAAAAATTTCAAAATTGTTGAAAACTATTAACCCACAGGATCCAAGCTCAACAACAAGAACAAAACTAAACCAAGGCAATATAATCAAATTGTTTAAAACCAGTTATACAGAGAAAATCTTGAAAGTAGCCAGAGAAAATATTTATGTTATAGAGAACCAAAAAGAAGGATGACAGATTTCTCATCAGAAACATTACAAGTGAAAAGACAGTGGAAATACTGAAAGAAAAAAATTATTAACCCAGAATTCTATACTCAGTGAAATATCATTCAAAAACAAAGACAAAGTAAAATGTTTTCAGATATACAAAAACTCAGATATCTTTACTATCAGGCCATACCATGAGACATGCTATAGGAAGTCCATGAGAGAGAAGGAAAATGATACCACATGAAATTATACAGATCCACACAAAGGAATAAAGAGCACTGGAAATCACTGGGCAAATATAAGAATTTCTACTAAAATTAATTAGAATTAATTCTTTAAGGTAATCAACAATCTAAACAAAATGATAACAATGTATTATTGAATTTATAACACACAAGTATAAAATATATGACAATAGTTGAAAGGCAAGAAGGGGAGAAGTGGAAGAATGAGGTTATAAGGTTCTTTTGGCGTATGTGATGTGGTGTATTATCATTTGATGGTAGACTTTGGTAAGTTAAAACTGTATTCAGTAAACCCTGTAGCACCCAGTAGAAAAACAAAATGGTTATAGCTAACAAGCCAACAAAGGAGGTAAAACAGAAACATAAAAAATTACTCACTCTAATGAAGGCAGAAAGAGAGGGAAAGGGACAAAGAACAGATGAAACAAAAATAAAATAGCAAGAAGACAAATTTAAATCTAGTCATATCAATAATGACATTAAATATAAATAAACATCCATTTAAAAGGCAAATACTAGACTAGGGGTATTGCTAAGTGAGATTCCAAGTTCAACCCCTAACATTACATACAAAACAAAACAAAATTAAAAAGTTTAAAAGGCAAAGACTGTCAGATTATATTAAAAACTAGACCCAACTAGCTATTATCAATAAGAAACACATTGTGCATAGAAAGACACAAGAACAGTAAGGGTGAAAGGATAGAAAAAGATATACTTTACCGGTGCTAGCATTAGTTAAAAGTGAAAGGTACATCTATATTAACAAGAAATAAAGTACGTTTCAAAGCAAAGAGTATTTCCAGGGATAAAGATAATTTCTTATTAATAAAGTGGCAAGTTAATGGGGAAGATATAATAATCTTAAATATTCCTATCCCAAATAATATAGCTTTGAAATATATGAAGCAAAAATTGATAGAACTACAAGGAGAAACAAATTCTCAACTATAGTGAGAGGTTTGGATACCCTTCTTTTAATAATTACCAGAACAAGTAGAAACTTAGCAAGTTAAACTCTACACTATCAACCAATGTCACTTATTTGACTTTTCTAGAATACTCCATTAACAATAGAATACACATTCTCTTCAAAGTATATATGTGAAACATACCTATATAGACTATATATATATATAAAATCAATCAACTGGCCTGTTTTTGAATAGTCTATGAACTAAGAATGTTTTTCACATTTTAAAAAATTCTTTAAAAAAGAAAATATGTGAAAAATATTACATATGGCTCACAAAGCTTAAATTTACCTTTATAGAAAACTGAAGCTTTACAGAAAGCTTGTAAACCTTTTTTCTAAGCCATAAAATATGTGTTAATAAACTTTAAATAATTCAAGTCATGCAAAGGATGTTCTTGGACCACAATGGAATTAAATGAGAAATCAATAACTGACAGCTATCTGGAAAATCCACAAATGTTTGAGGAGAAAATAACATGCTTCTAAATAACTTGTTGATTAAAAAAGGAACCTATGGTGAAGTTAGAAAGCATTTTGAATTGAATGAAAATAAAAACAAGCCATATCAGATTTTATGGCATTCTAAGGCAATACCCTGTAGGGAGGAAATTTAGAAATAAAATTCCTATATTATAAAATGATCTCAGTTTCTCCCCTAAGAAACTAGAAATGCAAAGTAAACCCAAAGAAGTGAAAGAAAGGAAGTAAGAAAGAAATAGAAAACAATAAATGGAAATCAGAAAATCAATTGAGAGTATCAGTGAAACCAAAACCTGGTTCTTTGGAATCCGTAAAACTGATAAACCTTTAGTCAAGCCTGATTAGAAGTTTTGGCAGTGAAATCAGGAAGAAAATAAGATAAAACAACTCAGATTGGAAAGGATCAAATAAAGCTGATGAAATCTCCAAGAATTTCCTCAGCCTCTCTATAATTCCCCCTCTGCTCACCTCTCTCTCCTGGATACTACTGGTCTGCTTTCTGTTGCTATAGATTAGTTTACTTCTGGCAACAAGGAGGTTGGGCAACCTGTACATAAAGCAGGGGGGGCAGATTTAAAGGGGGGGGTCTTAATGGGAGACTCACACTTTTTAATTTTTTTTGTTTGTAACATCGATTTATTTCTCTATCATTTCCTTTCCCTCCACCATTTAAGTATTCTAATGTTATTTCATAGATTTCATAAGTTATTTCATAGATTTTCCCAATGACCTAAAATGTTAGGTTGCTAAAGAAAACAGATCAGTTTGCACTTTCTAGAATTTTATGTACATAGAATCAAGTGGTATGTATGCAATTCTTTGGTCAGAAATTAATATAGTGTAATCAAAGTATATGTATAGCAATTTGATTTTTCATTCCATTCCATTCCCTTCATTTGACCCTAGAGTTTCAATCTATATCTATTTTATAACTTTCATATATATATGTATCAACCGACCAGAGAGCTTATTAAGAAAGCTTGAATTTTCTACCTTCTAGTGATGTTCCACTTAGAGTTGACATTAAGCCCACCCCCTTTAAGATACTTTTTCCTTCAATTTATTTTCTTTCTGGTCAATTGGGATATTTTATTGGAAACTAAGAAAATCTCTAGTTTCTTCTTCATGTAGAAGAAGCAGAGACTATCCTGGATTTTTGTAGTACTTAAGTTATTCCCTAATTGTCTCATGAAGAAATCAATGTAGTAGAATCACTGAAGTGTCAGAATAAAATTGTTTAAAGTGTAACCATGTTTTCTATAATAGATTTTCATATAGTTTAATTAATAGTCATTCACTCCCTGGCTTCTTTCTCCATCCACAGTGTCTTCTGGCAACAAGGAAGTTGAACAACCTATACATAAAAGCAGTTGCTAGTGATGCCAAATTAACAGCAATTTCTCCATCATTTCCTCTCCCTACCATTTAAGTATATTAATATTTAGGTTATTTCATAGAGTTTTCCTAATGCCCTAAAGTGTTAGATTGCTAAAGAAAATTGATCAGGTAATACTGCTGTATATCCTCATGGATACACACACACACACACACACACACACACACACACACACACACGCACACCCCTCCAGGTATACAAAATCAGACATTAACATGAAAACTTGAGGGAAGAAAATCACCCAAACCATAGAATTTCTGGTTTTACTAACATTTATGTAGCATGGTTCCCATTTAGGATTTTCAGAATTGAGTGAGGACAATCTGAAGATCTATTTTTTTGTTAACCACTTCAGAGATTGTGTGAGGTAGTGGTGATGGGAAACACCCAAGCAAATAATGACTGCTAGATAAGACATCAGAGTCAATGTCCATCACTTCTTGTCCATACAGATAAACTTCATTTCCTAGCCTCTCTTTCAGTTAAGTGTGGGCATGTGACTAAATTATAGTCGATGGAATGAGAATAGAAGTGATACCCACTACTGTGAAGCTCTTTCATAAGAAAATCTCTCCTTCTAACAGACTGAAACAGAGAAGACCTCCAAGGAAAACTTGGAAGTTGGGTACTAAAGGATGAAGTTCAGAAAGATCTTGGAAACTAGGTACTGAACTATTTATTTAATTCAGCAAGAAACAAATTTGAGTCATTTTTCAGAATTGATCTATTCGCAGTTAGCTTCCCTAATTAATTGCATATGTACAGCATATGCAATGTCCCTATGATGACAACTTCAATGGGCACCATTTCCATTTTAATGGATGTAAGGGGCATGCTAGAAGCCTTGGGTTCAATTCCCAGCCACTCAAAATCAAGCATACAAAAACTAATACATTGTAAAGTTATGTAAATGAATTTCTTGAAGCACAGTTGAAAGGCTACAGGTAAGTATACATAGGGATATATTTAAATATTTTCACAGAAGTGGTGCAACACTCGGACTTGGCCAAATTGATTTTAACTTTTTCATGGGTTTCATTGTGGATAAGCACCAATTTGTTTGAAGGCACACATCCATATTGTTTCTGTGGTAAAGAGAAAGGTGATGGAATGGATGATCCATTAAGACTTGTAAGGGGAAAATGTATACTTAGGATCCAAATTAGGTCTCCCAGGATTTTTACAACAGTGATCGTTGCATATTCTTCTGATAACCTATAGGATATTAGGAGTTTCCTTTCCCAAAAAGAAAACACTTGCTGCTCTGAGTAGTAGAGATGTCTTTCTAAACTTATCTGGGCGTAATTTTCCTCATCTATAAAATGAGAGTTGGATTATTATGACCTCAATGTTTCCTTACTTCACTAAAATTCTGCCATCTATGTAATGTCCAGAGCTGTTGGGAGTAACCGTTTTTAGCATGAGTGTTCCTTCCGAATTCAAATTGATGTAATAATAGTAACTTGAACATCTTTAACTCTTAGCAATTCACATTGGTAAATAGGCACAACAGAGTTCCTACCCTTCTTTCAAACAAAATTTATTAAATTGAAAAGATTTTTCCAAGGAATCTCCATACTGCTTTCCATATTGGCTGCACCAATTTGCAGTCCCACCAGCAATGTATGAGTGTACCTTTTCCCCCACATCCTCGCCAACACTTACTATTGTTTGTCTTCATGATATCTGCCATTCTGACTAGAGTAAGATGATATCTTTTAAAAGATATATATTTATTTTTTAGTTTTAGGTGGATACATCTCCATTTTATTTTTATGTGGTGTTGAGGATCGAACCCAGCGCCCTGCACATGCCAGGCGTGCGCACTACCGCTTGAGCCACATTCCCAGCCCAAGATGATATCTTAACAGTTTTGATTTGCACTTCTCTAATTGCTAGAGATGCTGAGCATTTTTTCATATAATTGAATTCATATTTTTTCATATAATTGATTGATTGTATATCTTCTTCTGAGAAGTGTCTGTTCAGGTCCTTGGCCCATTTGTTGATTAGGTTATTATTATTATTATTATTTTTGGTGCTTAGCTTTTTGAGTTCTTTATATACCCTAGAGATTAGTGCTTTATCTGATGTGTGAAGGGTACAAATTTGCTCCCAGGATGTAGGCTCTTGTTCACCTCACAGATTGTTTCTTTTGCTGAGACGAAACTTTTTAGTTTGATTCCATTTGGAACCACCATTTGACCCAGCTATCCCTCTTCTCGGACTATATCCAAAGGACTTAAAAACAGCATAATACAGGGGCACATCCACATCAATGTTTATAGCAGCACAATTCATAATAGCTAAACTGTGGAGCCAACCTAGATGCCCTTCAGTGGATGAATGGATTAAAAAAAATGTAGCATAGATACACAATGGAATTTTACTCAGCAATAAAAGATAATAAAATCGGGCTGGGGATGCGGCTCAAGTGGTAGCGCGCTCGCCTGGCATTCGTGCGGCCTGGGTTCGATCCTCAGCACCACATACAAACAAAGATGTTGTGTCCGCTGAAAACTAAAAAAAATAAATATTAAAATTCTCTCTCTCTCTCTCTCTTTAAAAAAAAGACTTTAGGTCTTACTTTAAAAAAAAAAAGATAATAAAATCATTACATTTGTAGGTAAATGGATGGCGTTAGAGAAGATAATGCTAAGTGAAGTTAGCCAATCCCCCAAAAGCAAATGCCTAATGTTTTCTCTGATATAAGGAGGCTGTCTCACAGTGGGGTAGGGAGTGGGGAGCATGGGAGGAATAGATGAATTCTAGATAGGGAAGAGGGGTGGGAGGGGAAGGGAGGGGGCAGGGGATTAGCAAGGATAGTGGAATGTGACAGACATCATTATCCAAAGTACATGTATGAAGACACGAATTGGGTGTCAACATACTTTATATACAGAGATATGAAAAATTGTGGTATGTATGTGTAATGAGAATTGTAATGCATTCTACTGTCATTTTTTAAAATCAATTAAAAAAAATTTAAAAAGATTTTTAACCCAGGATTTTTTAGAGTAATTTCAAAAGCACTGTTCCACCTCTCTAATTTCTATACTTCACTCAGTGTATGGGGAAGGATCAAAACTAATGCAGAATGTGGTAATTATTGAAATATTGAATGTAGCATACATATTACAAAAAAGTCAAAGCTTTAAAAATTAGAGGGCAGATTATATAATTTTCACTGAATTTACCAGTTAAAACTTTTAGTATTTTCTCTCTCCTTCTCCCTCCTCCCTTTTTTCATCCTTTTTATTCCCACTTCCATGTTTGACAAAAATCACATTTTTATTTGTGATTTTATAATATAGCCAGTAGAAATGATTCTTTGCCTATTTGTTTGATGGTGGAATTTTAGTCTCATGAATTTCATCTTTTTTTGAAAGCTAAAATCTGCATTTTTTCCAGATTTTATGCAGGCATAGAATTGGCTTTATCTCACATTCTTTTGCTGAAGGAGAGCTGCAGAAATATGGACCTCATTCAGGGATGACACTATTTTAGAAAGGAAAAAGGATAGGTTCTATAACATTGTCCACAGTGAGGTTTTTATGCTGAGAAAAAGTCACGTATGGGCTGGAATAGATGAGAAGAAGGAATCACACAATACCCTTTTTTGTTCCACAAAAGAAACATGACAGAAAAAGAGAACCAATAACAATATTTTGACTACTAGTAGACAAGTATAGATTCTAAAATATCCTTATATAATTGCAGAAATTGAGGAACAATCTAACTATTTTAAATGAGGGAAAGGATAAATTTTGATATATATTTATGTTGGAATGTTATACAGATGTTAAAAACATGTTTTCAAAAATATTCAGTAACAAGAGAAAACAGTCATTATAAGCTAAATATGAAAAAATAATATAAAAGCATATAAATAATATTTTGGTCAATAGTGGACCCTGTATGTGATGGTGGTCCCATAAGATTATATTGCCTAGGGACTTCATATCCCCATCTTTAAAGTGATTCATGATTGTGTGGATTTGGTGTTTAGTATTTAGTTTAAATGCAATAAAGAAACATGAATTAACATTGGTTTTTCTCTGGCTATGGGATACTACAAGGTGACAGTACTTTTCTGTGGTTTCCAATATTTTTCTTTTTAACACAGTCTGTTTACAATTTCAAAAACATTACTTTTAAAGAAGTTAACACCGTTCATGTAAAAAATGTGCATACCTACATATATATTATTTCAGAATATCAAAAAATATATATTGGGCTGGGGATATGGCTCAAGCGGTAGCGCGCTTGCCTGGCATGCATGCGGCCCGGGTTCGATCCTCATCACCACATACCAACAAAGATGTTGTGTCCACTGAGAACTAAAAAATAAATATTAAAAAAATTCTCTCTCTCTCTCTCTCTCTCTCTCTCTCTAAAATATATAAAATTTCAGTATATCAAAACTAGACCCAAAATAACGGGTTTGACAGTTTTCAGAATGACACTGAAACAGAATACTTTCCTTGACCCTAACTTTATTCTAAGGTCTTCAGGGAAGTGAAAGAGCTGGTGAAAGGCACATCATTTCAAGAGTTTCTGAAGTGCATGCATTGTATGAAAAAGCATAGACACTTCCTTTGATTTTGACATCTTGAATTTCAATACAACCTGTAATTTTGCACATGCTAAATGAATGCATTAGTGTTTTCAAGCTACAAAATGGTGGTTATTCAAAACTTATTAAATATTCTTCAAAGATTGAACAAATTAAGACAGCTGAATACATATTCAAAACATCTGTACATGCATATATATATGTATGTATGTATACATATGTATTTTAAATTAAAGCAAAAGATTCAAAAGAATAATTAATGTTCTGAGTAAAGCTAAGAAATAGAGGCTATTCATACTTTTTGTTTCAAATTTACTGCAGTGCTAATTTCCTGCATTTTTCTGGATGTTTAATTATGTTTAATTTCTCTAGGAGACTAGTGAAGAGACCTAAACTCAAGATTAAAAGACTAGTTCATATTCTACCTATTTCTTACAACAAAATGTTCTAAATGTCAAGTAGAAAGAATTTTGCAGCTAAAACAAAGTTTGAAAGAGAGAAAAGTAACCAGCAGCACAGTGAGTTTTGAACACAGACTTGGGGGATGAGGCAGATGCAGGTTCAAATTCTTAAACTAGGAGTGGGGAAAAAATAGCACAAGGAAGGATGGAAGCTGGAAAGAATAAGATTGATCAGTAGTGTACCTGTTTGTCAAGAATAAAGGATGTAGACAGATACATGCTAGAACTAGAGAGTGAATTTTAAAGCTTAAAGGGCCTTTAGAGATAATTTAGTCACAGTCCATCATTTTGTAAAGGAAACTGACACCTGGAAAGTTAAATGTCTCACCTGAGGTCTCGCTTCCAACATTGACACTTGTGTTACCCAGGTTCCCTCCACTCCCTTTCCTTCCTTCCTCCATCCCTCCCTCCCTTCCTTCCTTCCAAGAATCAAACCGAGGGCCTTATCCAAGTTGTGCAGGCACTACCACTGAGCGACATCCCCACCCTCCTAGGTTTCTTTACTCCCCAAACTGGACCCGTTTCACTTTGTGCTACAACATGCTACATCTGAGGTTGAGGCAGAACAGATTATAGAGAGAATGAAGATTAGACTAAAGAGTTTGAGTTTTGTCCTGCGTATGGCTTTTTTTTTTTTGGCGGGTGGGGGGGGCGGGGTTAGTGGGAGAACCAGGCACAAAGGAATGATAATGATCAGAGTTATAAAAGATTTATAGAGGTCATTTGTATTTCCTAAAAATTCTGTATATTTAAATTTTGCTTACTTAGTATAACTTAAACAATTCTTAGGGGAGAACCCTCATTTAAATAATGCTTTTTAAGGGAACTAAATTATAATATATATAACTGTTTTATTGGTTTATTCATTTGCTTTTGTTAGTCTCTTGCATAAATTAGTGGTGTACACACGAGATCACGATAGTTGGATGGTGAAACTGTTGGGTGAGTATTTTGGGAAATAGGAAAAAAGAGATGATGATACCTTGTAAAATGGAAGCATTAAGTAGAAGTAATTTATGTCCTCAAATTAAGGATAAATTTTGAACCTGACCCCCCACTAAATTTTAAAGAGCAGATTTTTCCCTGAAGGGTTAAATATTAAAAACATGGGGTTTGGGGAGAAAGAAAGGAAAAAAAAAAAACCCAAACAACAAAACACTGAATCTAATATTAAATATTAATCTCAGCTTAAAAAGGTTGTCCCCATAAATTTTTCTAATATGTATGTATGTATGTGTGTGTATGTATATATATATATGTGTGTGTGTGTGTGTGTGTGTGTGTATGTGTTTGTACACATACACATACATACATACATGGAGGTACCTAGGACTGAATACAGGGGCCTTGACCACCAAGACACATCC